AATAAATAAATAAATATTATTTATTTATTTATTTATTTATTTATTTCTTTTTTTTTTTTTCTGTGTAGCCTTCCATACACAACCACCAATAAGACAAAGAAAGAAAAGACCAACAAGAAGACCAATAATAATACCTGTTATATTATGGCTACTATCTGCTGCTGCTGCTGTTGCTGCTGCAGTAGGCATAAAGGGGTTAGCAGCAGCAGCAGTAGTAGTAGGTACAGCAGCAGCAGCAGTAGTAGTAGGTACTGCAGCAGCAGCAACAGCAGGTGCAGCAGCAGCAGCAGCAGGTGCAGCAGCAGCAGCAGCAGGTAAATTAGCAGTTAAATTAGTTTGTGGTGTATTTAGGGCAAAGGGCCCCGTTAATGCTTGCTGGGCCCCCCCCATTAGGGTACCAGCAGCAGACCCTAATAGTGCGCTACCTATACCAGATAATATACCTTTTTGCTGCAGTTGTATAATTGATGCAGCAGCAACTGGTGCAGCAGCAGCAGCAGCAGCAGCAGTAGATGTAGCAGCAGGGGAAGAGGGAGAGGAAGAGGAAACAGCAGAAGAAGAAGAAGCAGATCTATATTGCTTATGGTTGTCTATATATGCATATGCAGGATTTGCTGCTGCTCCTGCTGCTGCTGCTGCTGCTGATGGAGGAGCAGCAGCAGCAGCACTACGTAAATGTAGAGAGGATCTCTCCTGCTGCTGCTGTTGCTGCTGCTGCTGCTGCTGCTGCTGCTGCTGCTGCAGAGGTATATCTACTGCAGAAAATTCGTATTGTGTATCCATTTGCTGCTCTAGAGGTTGAAAAGACAACAAGCTGCTGCTGCTGCTGCTGCTGCTGCTGTCGCTGCTGCTGCTGCTGCTGCTGCTGCTGTCATTATTATCTAGAGGAGGATTAAGAGATTCAATCTCTCCTTCGTCTTTCTCTATAAAGGCATCAAGCTCAACATCTTGCTGCTGCTGCTGCTGCTGCTGTTGCTGCTGCTGCTGCTGCTGCTGCAGAGAAGAGAAAGGGGACAGAAAAGGGGGACTGCTATTAAGAGATCTTGCTGCGCTGCTGTTAGGATTAAGAGACAAACAGCAGCAGCAGCAGCAGCAGCAGCAAATAAACAGCACTAATTTCCCCCACATACTGCTGGGGAAGGAGATCATCTCCTTATGCCGCTGCTGCTCTGCAGCAGCAGCAGCAGCAGCAACAGCAACAGCAACAGCAGCAGCAGCAGGAGAGAGGCTCGTAAGGAGAGACAGCAGCAGCAAACACTGATCTTCCTTATATAAAGAAAAGGGTTTATATAGTTGGGGTGTATAGGCAGCTATACAGTCTTAAGAAGAATAAGAAGGATAAAGAGAGACAGCTATATTTTTGCTGCTGCTGCTGCTGCTGCTGCTGCTCCTGCTGCTGATGGGAAGGGGAGGGCAGCAGCACGTATTTGCTGCTGCAGAGACTTTATTGTCTTTTTATTTATTAAGAAGATTTCTTATAAATAAAAAAAAAGAAAAAAAGAAAGAAAAAAGCATAAAAAAGAAGCTCCTGTTGCTGCTGCTGCTGCTGCTGCTGCTGTATGACGAAGTGTCCCTCCTCTTTATAAGGTCTCGCTGCTGCTGCTGCTGCTGCTGCTGCTGTTGGCGGCGCCTGTGCTGCTGCTGCTGCTGCTGATCAAAATATACCTTTTTTATTCCCTTTTTTATAATTTAATTAGTAAAAATTAAATATAAAATATTTAATTTATAAATTATTGTTCTTATTGCTATATTTGCCTATACATAAACCCTAAACCCTAAACCCTAAACCCTAAACCCTAAGGAAGGCGATGGAGCAGCTAGTTTGCGGTGTATCTGCAGCACAATTTACCTTCTTCTTTTTTTTTCTTCTTTTATTTATTTAATTAATTGATTAATTAAAATAAAAATAAATAAATTATAAATAAATAAATTAAATTAAATTAACAATAAATATAAACAATTACAACAGACAACAAACAGCCGCCCTACGACCGTCACAGGACCAATGGGCACCGAAAACCCTAAACCCTAAACCCTAAACCCTAAACCCTAAACCCTAAACCCTTATGAAATTTCACCGTATATAATTATTTTAAATTATGTTTAATTTATCGATGCGATATTAGTTTTGCTGCAGCACATGCTGCAGCTGCTTCTGCAGCTGCTGCTGCTGCTGCCGCTGCCGACGCTGCTGCTGTTGCAGCAGCAGCAGCAGCAGCAGCAGCAGCTGCTGCTGCTGCTGCTGTATATGGGGTATGGATACAGCAAAGGAGAGATTGTAAATTAATAAAATTTACAATAAAATAAAGAATGAATAAAAGTATTTTTGTCTTTTTATATTTCCTTTTATTTGTTTATATTTATTTATATTTTCTCCCCTTTTATTGCTGTCTTTTTTTTTTTTACCTTCTTTTCTCCTTTTTATTGTTTTGTTTATTTATTTAATAATAAAAAAGAAGAAAATAACTCCTTAAGACACAACTTCCTCATATCCACCCCA